CCATATATAGACTAACATATTTAACTACATAGACGCGGGATGCGGGTAATCGCGGTACGAATCGAGGAACTCACTTTAGACGGGTAATCCTCCGGTGGTCGTTGCGCTGGAACCCCCATCCCCTATACTACTCGGCCCCGACACCGTTATCCATAATACCTGCTCAGGRAAGCTCAGGGCACTCGGCCAAAGCCTGAGGGATAGGTTAGTCGGCTCCTAGACCATATATGTTTAGCCCTTTGCTATGACCTGTGAGGAACTTTTTTTCTATGATGATAAAGTTCCTGTTGTTTCCATGTTCCTTTTGGGATGTATGAAAATTCACCCGAGATCTAGGCGTTTGCTTAGACATGTGCAGTATACATACATAATTTTTACCAACAGGGCTTTAATAATATGAGAACTGAAAAGTCATTTTTATGAGTTTAAACCTGACGAGCCACGAAGAAATAAGAGATATTGAAGATGAATTTTTGACGAGTGTTTCAATTATCTTGTCAACATGAAAAGACGGTTGTGTGTTTCACCGGATATTATTAAAATTCAAGGTAAGAATTTTAAGAATGAAGCAMCAATAAAGGCACGATTACACTGACCAATTTTCTGTGCAACTTGTGTCGCAACAGCGTTGCGACACAAGTTGCAAGAGTATCTACGTACACGGTGCAACGGAGACGCAATTGTTGCCAAAAGTAGAAATATGAATTCTACTTTTCGCAACGATTGCTGCAATTTGTGTCGCAACATTTTTCAACTTGCGCTATAGGTTACACGCTGCAATGCCCCAAACATCTGACGATGGGATCTTTTGCCCATGAACGTCCTTAAGGGAAAGATTAATATTTCGAATAAGCATGTTTTATTGAAATCGAAATCAATACAAAACTGCTGTCGAGTGTTGGTGCGTTTGCTTTATTACTCAATTTCTCCATTTTTCTTTACCCAAGTTTCTAAATGGCGCTTGGGATCTAAGAAGATGAGTACTTTTGAAGCTCAAGGTTCAGAAAATTTAAAGTAAAATTGTAAAGGCCGGTTTACACGGTACGACTAGTTTTCCTCGTTACTGTCGTCCGCAAAATGATGACAACATGAATTGCATTGCTTCGCGTAAATCGACCGTATAGCTTGCTTACAACTGTAAATGGCAGACAGCTAAGACTTTGCGTAAGCATGTTGCGCGCCACAGTTATGAGGAAAAATCGTACGTTGTACATGAGAGAATTTTCGAAAACATTGATTTCGAGTTTTAAAAAACAATGCAAGAACAAAAACATTACCGCAACAGCAAAAAAAATTATATCAGAAATGATAGATCAAACAAACAAGGAGTTCTTAATTAATGATTTCATGATTTAATATGTGTCTTTCTTTAAGCCAGGCAGATAGTCACTATAAGAAATCAATATAATAATACACTCAACAGAATTGAGCAACTTAATCTGGACTTTACAGAAGTCAATTGACGATTTAATTGTACTCCTCTTGTTCAATCAGAATCGAGTAATTTTGTTGAGTGTATTATGAAATAGCATACATTCATTAGATACAATCTCACATCACAAATCGAGCGTTCATAGCGCTAGAAATTATAATAAACAATTAACTCTCCATCGCAATTCCTTGGAATATCACAAAGTCATTTTACATTTTCGRAAAAAAACATACGTTGATGGCCGAAGCTCTGAGCGATCGTGTTCGCAGACTCATTTGCATAAACCCAAGATGATTGACGGCACGGAAAAGACCAAAATCCAATCAGGGTTTTGAAATGGCGGGTCGCGATGCAGCGATTTTCGCTGTAATTGATTAACTTATTTAGTATTTTTACACGAGTAAATATCATAAATCCAGCGCGCTTATTGGTTACAATTTAACGTCTTATGCAGCTATATTCAACTACAGGTATATATATCGCGCACGCACACGCTCTTTTGGTCGATTTGTGCCGCTTTCAGAGATAAATAACACAAATAAATAAATAAAACAAACGTAACAAAACTTTCAAAGTATAGTTATTTTGTGTCTCTTCATACGTTTCTTGTCTTCATTTTTGTCACCTTCCTTATCTTCCCCATTGTCAAGATGATTCTCCTCTTCGTCATCATCCATACCTATCTGAGTTAGACCATAATCACCAGCAGCAGYTTCAATAGAATGTCCTGAGGTGAAAAGGAAACTTTTATTAAAATAGCCGAATTTCTATTTGTCTGTTGCTCCGGGTTAACCTAAAAATTTGTTGTTTTTTTTTTACTTTACCGATACTTTCTCAATGCAATTACTCCCCAATCCATGGCTGACTTTATTTGTGTTCAAGGATGGACTTTCTACTTGCAAATTTCCCAGTCTTACTCGGCCAGACAAGCTATTTGTTTTTACTTTGCTTTTTTCTGATATTTCTCATCAAGGTGCAATACACATTACCTTCAATTTCATTGCCACTTTGCAGCTGTGTTTTCATCTGCCATCCACTGCTACTTTCCATACTTCTTGCTTCACTTTGCGCTTCATCAAGTGTTAGAAAGACTGACAGGCAGCAAGCGAGAGAGCAGCGAGGATTTTTGATGACGGAATAGATGGTCTGACCAACAGCTATCGCATATTTTACTGAAATAGAATGGTAAAGATTGGAAACTGACCAGTAAGAAACACTTCATATATTTCCGTCAGTTACTGTCTTGGCCTTGTTGGCAGAGTATCAACTGCGCAAGATTTTGGATGAAAAAAAACAATGAATAGCTGTTAAACTTTTGAATAAGTTTCATTAGGAAATAGTTTGCAACTGTCGCTCGATTCTTTATTTTAGCAGACACTCCCTATTTTAATAGAGAAAGCAATACAGACTCACCGACTACAAGAGTCGTGACCATGATGTTAGCCATGACCAGCAGTACCGTAACAATCAAAGAATCCATGAACTTAGCATCAGCATGTAGCAAAGCACCCTGGTCTATTTTGAGCATCATTCCAATACACGTGTTGGCAAATGTAACCAGAAGTGACGTCAGCTGAAGAACATGCTCGAACTTGTCAGGGATTGGTTTAAAATGAGCATGGAGTATGGCATAACAACCTGAGAATGATCGTATTATAACAGTGTAAATTGATATCTTGATGTCTACAAGAAGAATATAAAACTCGATTTGGATATTTACCAGACATAACAGACGCGACTCCAAGAGAGGTTCGTCCTTCAGCACCAATCAGAGTGAAACAAGATGTCAGCAGCAGTTTCCTCATCATTTCAATGGTTTCCCAAAACCAGCAATTTTCCGCATAGTTCTCGAATATAAAACTCATGCCTGATATGATCGGTAGGGTAGTGATCGTGGTACTTTCAGAACCGTTTCCTTCCACTCTATAACCTTTTTGGTTCTCCACCGTTGTGCCTTCCAGCCCTTCGTTGCTATCAAATTCAAGATTTTTATGATCAGTTTTTGAAAAAGAGGATGTTAGGTTATCTACGTTGTTCTTAGTGACATCCTGTATCTCGTCTGTCATAAACTCTACTTGTGGTTCTGGAAGGATTTTGATTTGTCTAGTTTCCCTTTTCATATTGTGGTTGTCTTGAGTTGGGGTACAAGATAAATGCGTAGTGTTTCTGTGTTGGTTTGTGTGTTGACTCAATGATGCATCAATCTCGTTTTGTCTCATCTGTTCATTATTGAACTTGTAATCCGCCGGTTTCTTTCTTAAGTTTCTATAGTGATACTTCAACAGAACCGCTACTGTTAGCAATGGAACAGCAAAAGGGTAGACCAAAGCAACATAAACCAGGATGACATACAGATTGTACTTGTCAGTAAAGCAAGTTATGGAGTAATCAGCTTTCAAGTAGAAGGTACACTGTTTCTGGCTGCTGTCTTGACAGATTCTGTGACAGGCTGCCGGTAACATCTGGAATATCGTCGTACATGTCTGTGGGTAAGTTACGAAAATGAACAGGAAGACGTTCCGGTAGCAGGCCTCTTTCGTGCCTTCTAGGTCAGAGAGAATGGTAGTCTTTCCAGATCGCTTGGCCCTCTTATGAAGATAATAACGTTTAAAGTTGTAATAGACCAAAGCCACGAGGATAACCAAAGCAGTAACCGAGCATGCAGTAACAAGACGACTATAAGCATCCATCTTGAAACGAGAGCTGAAACAATGCAGAGGGGCAATCTGGATAACATTCAGCTGAACTAACTTGGCGTATTTACTAATCTTGATCAAGGCACTTGGCCATTGGACGTACGAAAATCCATCAAGTGTACTAGAGAATATTTGATAGAAAGAAACGGTGATCTTGAGACGAGCAAGAATGATGTCGACAAAGGAGCGCTTGTACTGCGTCTTCCGTCGCTTAACTTTGATAACCAAAAACAATAATGCTACGACCACCAAGGAGATGGCGCTAATCTGTAGAGAAAAACAAGATCACCTGTACACAGAAATGCAAAAGTTGTATTATTCAAGTTTTATGATTATGATCTTTTTTGATTCAATTACGTATCGTAAACTATACCTGGAAAATACGCCAACCAAGTGCTGGACATTTGAAGCAGTTAGCAACTAGTCTATAGTGTCTTTTATCACATACAGCACACAGGGGTCCCGCGTAACCATCAGCACACTTAGCGTCCAGGCCACCCAGACATGACTCTGATTTTGGGCATTGGTAATGTTTGGGGAAAGATCTATTAAAGGTAACCAGGTCTTTGTTATAACTGTCATCAAAGATTTGCAGGTTGTTGGTAAAGTTGATGTAGTTCTCTTTCTCCGACTGGGAAATCCACTGCCAGTAGTACCCAGGCTTCAGTGTCATGGACTCGTTAAAACACATGACACCATCGTCAGGACAAGAGTAACACTTTTCGAACCGATCGAGCCGGTAAAACCCATCTTGGCAAGAACAAGCTCTAAAGCCTGCGAAGWTCTTATTTTGTGTACCTACAGCAAAGTAAAAAACAGAAACGGAATTTATTGAAATGCGGGATCTGATCTGAAACTAAACGGGATTTTTGTCCGTTAATGTTTTCTAGTAAGATAATTGGTGCTAATTAACAAATGAAAGTGTGCAAGGGACTCTGGTTGTGGGAGTCAAATAAAGCCATCTTGCAAACGTCCTATTCACTAGAGTGGCCTAACACCAAACTTTGCGGACATTGTTCGGGCGCAGCCTTTCTACCCATGACTTAGGGCGCGTGCGTTCGTCGTGATCACGTCATTCGAATCTTTTGATGGGCAAAATATTAAGAAATTCTACTTTTCACTTCTTTACGGCAAAATATCTCGGAAACCAATTCGGTGGCTCCCATTCTCTTTGTCTTAAAATTAAAATTCTACCAAAATCTACGACCTATGTGAATCTAAAGAAATGCTGATTGCGATGGAATCATTAACACCAAATTTACTAAAGTTTCATAAATTCTTATTACTAGTTCTTATTTCCATGCTTTCAATTCAGAAATGTCAAAGAAAGTTATTTTTGATGGCCATGAATTTTTTCTGCATTTCTTAGGCCCCGTCCACACTATGCCGGATAAATTTGAATCCAACTTTCACACCGAAACCGAAAAAAAAATTCTTCGTATCGTAAATGCGGGTTGGATTTGGATTTAGTCTTTCTTCGAAATTATGGTGACTGTATTTTTTAACGGCCTAAGATACAAAAGTATTTCTTCCGGCGTGACCTCAGGTCGGTTGCCGAAAGAAATCCGTTGAATTGGTGTACAGTGAGCTCCAAATACGGGTCAGAACAAGCGAGGTAGTATGTGAATACAGGCAAATTTCATGGATTAAAGACGCGAAGATTAATCTCTAATGCGACTTTCTCGGTTCTATAAGGATGTGAGAGAAGGGTCATGACTAAAATTTGGCGCTGGAAAGAAAATTCGAAGACGTACGAGGTTTCAAAGACCCGTGATGGTTCGCTTTTGGGACTCGAGTTTCCAACCTTCTCTTATTTCTTACTGGTGGGGGAAAAAATCCTTAAAACGGGCTAAATTCAAAAATAACCACGCTGAGCGAAAGAAGTGCTATTTCTCAATGATCGGGTAAAATTTCGAGGCTTTATTT